CATTCATAGAAGAATTTAGAAAACAGCTAGCTCATGGAAGTTAGAAAAACAAGGACTTTATAAAGTGTAGGCAAACCTGAGTTTGAATCTTGAGTCAATTACTTCGTAGATGTGTGAGACATTAGCTTTAAAAGTGGAGTAGATTCAGGGGTAATTTTTTGTGGCAAGAACACTTCATGGATGGAGTGCTGTGTGCTTCACCTCCCCTCCCATCAGAAGGTACATGATGTCTGTTGTCTTTCTCTACTGTTGGTGATGCTAAGAATACTTAGTGGGTACTAATCCCTCTATGGTATCGATTATGTTTGTTGCCCAGATAATTTCATTAGAAATAATTACAAAATAGCCCTCGCTGGGTGGCTCAGTTGGGTGGAGCGTCATCCCATACACCGAAAGGTTGCAGGTTCTATTCCTGGTCTGGGCACATACCTAGGTTGTGGGTTCAGTCCCTGCTCAGGCACATATGGGAAGCAACCGATCCATGTTTCTCTCTCACATCAATGCTTCTCTCTCTCTTTCTCTCTCCCCTATCCCCCCTCCTCTCTTTCTGTAAAATCAGTAAAAAAAAATCCTCAGGTGATGATTAAAATAATAATAATAACAAGATAATAGTAACTTTTTATTTCTATTATTCCATCTTTCATTAACCAGAATGCTGCTATAAGGAAGAACTTTAAAACATCAATATATTGAAATATAGTTTGTATAGGAACAGTTTTTTGTAACCAGAATATATGCTAATTTTCCCCCCTTTTAATTGTCAAATTTCAGTATAACGAGTGGTCCCCTGGATCACTTCCCTTGATTTCCAGTGAGTTGAGATTCTTGTGAGTGAAAGGGGTAGTTTTTTCTCTCTTTAGTTTTTCTCTTTTGTATGACTATGAAGTCATAGATTTTTAAAGATATTCAGTGATTATCAGTCAGTCGCATTTATTATTCTTTTTCATGCTCAAATTATTCCGTTTTTGGCCAACTGGGACCCCTTTGTGTTAGCTCCTTTCAGTCTTTAATAGCTTTTTTTCTAAACTAACAAATTCCAGGGAGAAATTATCAGTAACAGAATAATGAACTGTCTATAATATATGTTGAAATTTTAACAAAACAAAAAGCAAACAACAAGGTCAACCATACACATTTAAGAAAAGAGCAATAAGAAATATGCCAAATTATGAAATATTTTTTCTTGGTAGTACACTTATAGGAAAATACTATCTCTTTATTTTTTCTCTAGTGTTTTCCACTTTTCTGCTCTCCAGATTTTCCACAATGAGAATTACTACTTCTGTAATAAAAATATTAAGTTAAAATTTTAACAACCCCAACAGATATTTAATTTATTAATAAGTTCTTTTAGTGCATTTACAATAAGATTGAAATTATTTTGAAAGCTAATTGTACACACTTTTTTCAGAACTGTAAGTGGAGTAATTATACAATTATTAATTATCTCCCATATATTCAAAGAGCTGTAATGTATGCAAAGAGGAAAAATAGATAAACATTTTTTTAACAACCTCTAGGTTACAAAATTAGATGCCTGTTTCTGCCATCTGTCTTTATAGACCTTACTTTTTTTTCTCCTTAACAACAATTTAGAAACTGCTTCTACTGTTCTCATTCCTGCATGTTGACAGGTTCAAAGCAGATAAACAAAAACAACAACAACAGAATCACTTATTCCTTAATGTAAATCAGGGAGGCTGTGTAAACTTGTCTCCTTCCCTGTAGATAGCGATCATTTAGATGTGGCCTCGATGATGGTCGCTTTTACCCTTGTTTCACCAGTGGCCATCCTGGGCCCTTGTAAGTGGGATTTTAAATTTGACCCCATGAAGAAATCACCCTATATTTTCAAATGGATCACACACTGTATAAAGCATAGAACTTGGCTCTGTGCGTGTGTGTGTGTGTGTGTGTGTGTGTGTGTAAAGGAGTTATTCTCACCATGAATAATAGAGAAAGAAGTGTGAAAACTCAACAATATAAGAGCTGGTGTGTGAGTGTGTGTATGTGCGCTCGCTTCTACGTGTTTTAAAAGAAAAACTCCTCCCTTTCCAGTGCTGACAGCCTTCTGTGCTGACTTCCTAAAGTCCTTGGAGCAAAGCTTCCCTTGTGCCAAAACCAACCTGAAATGTTCTTACTTTTCTCTGGCATTCTTCTGGGAATTTGGAACACCCACACTTTTGGGGTAGATCATTCAGGATTTCTGCAATTCCTGCCCAGAACCAGTTTCCTCATGGTGTCATAGTAGAAATGTTTTTCATTGATCATTTCTTTATGCTAACATAATGCATAAAAGCTATGATTATAAATCCTGAGTCTATAAATCTCTGGATTCTCCAGGACAAATTCAGGAGTCAAGGCACCAGCAGGAAACAGCAGGCACACTCAAAGGGTTTAACCAAAGCCAATTTAATAAGTAAATCCCTTCAATATGTGCTTGATCCACATGTAGTTTGGCACATAGTAAGATTAGACATGAGCAGCCAAAGAACATCAGCTTGTCTTCACCACTCGTGGAGTAAATGTGAACGAAGAATATTTTACATAGAATTTTGGAAAGGAGAATTATCTTCATCTGGACTGGTGATCTGCTTCCAGCTGTGACCATGAAGCTACAAAGGAGGAGCAAGAAGAGGAAGGGGGAGAGTGGAGAAGGGGCCTTAAACGTAGTGATTCAAATGATGTGTGAGGTAACTAAAGTTAACATTTTATTTAGGTAGCCCTAGTGGGTGTGGCTCAGTTGGTTGAGCGCTATTGTCTGCACTGAAAGGTCACTGGCTCGATCCTGGTCTGATCAATGTTTCTCCCTCCCCCTAAAATCAATGAAAAAATATTTAAAAATTTATTTAGGTAATCATCTTCTCAATACCTGTCCCTGGAGATACTGGCTGTACATATTAGTGACAGGTGAGGCACACACTCCAGGTGAAAAATTGCTACTGCCTTCCTTAAACTGTTACTACTCTAAATAATTTCAGTTTCCAATTTTTAAAACCCCAGCACTTACTCCTTGAAATGACTAGCACTGAGGACACGGTGTGTACAAATTTTTTCATATTTAACTTTAGCAAAATGATGATAGAACCAAACAGAACACATTTGCTTTCCATTTATCTAAAGCATAATTTTGATAGTGTTTCTCAATACTGGAAATTGTTTAATAGAGTCTAAGAGTCTCCAAGAAAAAAAATAGTTTTTAGGGTAGAGAATCTGAAGCATGGGTTTTTCTTTATTTGGGCCATCTCTCTTTCTAAAGAAGTACTTTATGGAACTGACTCATAAGGAAATCATTTTAAAGGCAGTGGGCAATTTTGAATGACCAGACCTCGTTCTTTCGGATGGGAATCAAGGAGAGACTCCCCTGAGGCAATGCGCAGACCTGTTGAGCCTTGTCAAAGTGCTGGAATCTGTCAGAGTAATTAGCAGCTTCGCACCTTTGGAGGGGAGCTCGGGTTTCTTAGTGGAGCATGGGACCTGCAAATGTAAGAGAAAGGCAGGGGTAATAAGCGATGAAACAGCTGAGCAGGAGCAGCCAAGAGGGGTTCTCGTCACTGTAATTCAGGGCCAGTTCCTTCAGGACTTCAGGGAGAACAAAGCACATTGAAAAGAGCAGCAGACAGCAGGCACGAACAATGTGCGAAGCACCATTCACTTCCAGAAATGGACAGTTGAGGTCCTATGCACACTGATGTGTCCAAAAGCCAAAAAAGGATATTAGAAGAAATCAATCATTTTACCAGTGCCAAGTTCACTTATTCCAGGAACTGGGATATTTCATAATAAAAATTTAAATAAAGGCCAAAAATGAAGCAATGACAGTTCTTTTTTGGATGGATTCTAAATTCAGGCAATCATTATATTTTATTCAGGCCTAGTTCTATTTCTGTCTTTATTTGAGCTATGGAGTTTTAAGATAGCTTTTCATAGATGGCAAGTTATTTTTAGTTCTTTTAATATTCATAAAAATGTAATAGTTCTAAAAGTTATTTGTACTAAACGTCTCATTTTTTTTTTTTTTTTTTTTGGTCCAACTAGTTACTAAGTTAACTCTGGCATTAAAACATTTTTATGTAACAAAGATATATTTAGTAATGAAAATTACCACTAATTGATTAGTTTGAATGGACATACTTTTAAGTAATATTGATTTTCGTTAAATTCCCATACAGTTTTCCTCATCAAAGTCTAAATGAATTAGCCAGCCATCAAAAATGTTTAATAAATATGAAAGTACTTACAGGAAGGAGTCAGCAGTACAACTTTCTTGTTTGCTGAGTAAGTGTCTACACAGGTCACTTCATGCATATTAATTTACAATAATGACTGTGGTAATAATCTGTAACATGAAAGTTAAGGGAACGTTTCTAATTTGAATATAAAAATTCATTTTGCCTGTTTACCCCAGCCTGTAAACTATCTAATTGGTGCATTTTGGGTTGGGTGTATATAATATAACAGGACCACTTCTGTCTACTCCTTTGGACTCCTAACACCAGCTCTTATCTGTCACTCTGTTATCCAAATGCTGGGCCACGTAAGTGATCAAAAACCGAGTGTGGTTGATAACATTCAGGTAACTTTTTTCCCTAACACAAACGCCTCTGAAGAGTTCCCATTAATGGTCCGGGTTGCTGTGCTGAACTTTTTATTAGTAACCCCATCAAAAATCCATGGACAGTTATGACCCAAAAGTGGATAACCTAATATGTTAAAAGAGACTAACCTTTAGGTTTTGGCAACATGAATGTTACAGAAACATTTGTGATTCAAAAAGCTTATAATATGTTTTCTGATTGTTGACAGTTTCTCTGTTAAAATGATTGGCCAAAATATGGAAAATAAAAGGAGAGTCATTCACAGGCGTTAACCTGGGGCTTGTAGGCAAGGGGGGTGTGTGTGTGTGTGTGTGTGAGCACACACGCGTAGCTCACTGCGTGCTTCCCTTGGCCACCATTGATTTCTTCCTCACTAAACACTTACTGGTTCCTGTCTTCCAGATGACACAGGCTGTCCTAGTAGCCAGTCAGTGTCTCCTGTGAAGACGCCCTCGGATGCTGGAAACAGTCCTGTTGACTTTCGCCCTGGAAGTGATGAAGACTTGACCAGAAAGAAATGCACAGTTGGAATGGTTGGTGAGGGAAGCATCCAGTCAGCTCGCTGTAAGAAGGAACCCAAGTCAGGCCTTGTAAAGCCAGGTAAATGCACTTACATTCATGTTGTTATCAGCGCGGCATGACTGGAGTGAGTTCACATTTGAAACGAAACACCTGGATATCAAGACAGGGAACACTAATGCTGTATCCAGTAGCCAGAAAGATCTGCTTTTGAGAAAGTCTCTGTCTCTGTGGATGTGCCTGTTCTGGACATCTCATGTAGATGGAATCATACAATATGCGGCCTTTTCTGTTTGTCTCCTTTCAGTTAGCATAATGTTTCCAAAGTTCATCAATGTAGCAGGTATTAGTACTTTTGTTCTTTTTTTATGGCTCAGTAATATTCTATTATATTGATATACCACATTTTTAAACAGTCTCTTTTAAAAAGCAGATTTAGGTTTATAGAAAAATTGAGTGGAGAACCCAGAGTTCCCAGGTGCCCTCTCACCAATACTTCTTGCCTTGGAGTTGTGATATACCACATTATGTTGCTCCATTCACGGTTGGTAGACATTTGGGTTGTTTCTACTTTTTGACTATTATAAATAATGTGCTGTGAGCATTCATGTACAGGTTTTTGTAAGAACATGAATTCATTTCTCTTGAGTATATACCTAGGAATAAAATTGCTGAGTCATGTGGTAACTCTATGTTTAACTCTGAGGGATTGCCAAACTGTTTTCCAAAATGTCTGTACCGTTCTGCATACCTACCAGCAATGCACGAGGCTTCCAATTTCTCCACATCCATCCTTGTTAATAGTTGTTACAGTCCACCTTTTTGATGATAGCATTCGAGTGTGTGTGAAGTGGTATTTCATTGTGCTTTTTAATTTACATTTCCCTGATGGCTAATGATGATGGGTGCCCTTTCACGTGCTCCTTGGCCATTTGAATATCTTCTTTAGAGAAATGCTCTCATTTCTTTAAAGCTGGGAATAATCACCAATAGAATCTGCTTCTCTAACACATGGATGTAAGTTTCCGAGCAGGATCCCTGATGTCCTCTTTGTATTCCCAGCACACAGGGTCGATGCATGTTGGGGGGCTCAGTGAGCATTTGTTGACCTCAGCGGTGAAGGTGGACTCTGGGACTGAGAAGCTAAAATGGTGCTGGACAGAATGTCAGCTTTGTGGATTGCAAAGAAAAAGTAGATTTCTTTGTGGAAGTAATGCAGTATTTGAATGCAACCTGAAATTATTTCATTTTTATTGACCACACACACCAAATTATCTACCAAAATATCTGCCACTCATTCTAAAACCATTTTATAGTGGTGACAATACAGGGAAACAGGGAAACGGGAGACAAGTGTGGTTCAATAATCTTCCTTGTTTCAATAATCATAATAAAGGGTAATAATGTTGGTATAAGACTTAAAACTCTTTGTGTATACACAAAATTTACACTTAGCAAGTCCCTGATTCTGTAGAAGGTAACTCACTTGGTAAGGATCAGCCACTTGTCTTGCTGAGAATGTTTAAGGCCTTAGATTTTCATGAAGAAAATGCAGACAAAAAAAAGAAAGAAACTAAGGGTGGGGGGAGGAAGAGAAGGAGGGAGNGGAAAGAAACTAAGGGGGGGTGAGGAAGGGAAGGAGGGAGAGAAACAAGAAGAGTTGTTCTTAATGTTGTTCTGATTCTNAGAAAGAAACTAAGGGTGGGGGGAGGAAGAGAAGGAGGGAGAGAAACAAGAAGAGTTGTTCTTAATGTTGTTCTGATTCTTGGATCTTTTGAGAATCATGAAGGCCATGGACCCATACTTCAGAAGACTACCCATATGCACAAAATACTGCATACTATTTCTGAGATGTCATGGATCTCCTTTATTAAGACATATAAATCTTAGTTTAATGATCCTTGCCCAGAGGCAGACCCTGAAACACCTTTTGTCAATTGCTTCTAATTTCATTGCTCATAGTTAAACTGTCACCTAAGCAGGTAAGGACCCTGGCTCTTTTTATTTATTTGCATTTAACCAATGTCAAAGGGATCCCTAAAGTTTATTTTTTAGTTGCCTAAAATGCCTAATGTCATCCTTGAAAAAGTTGCTCAAGCGTTTGAATGGGACCCAATTCTGTACAGTAAGCTCTTTGTGTTTAGAAAAATCTGCACCATGACCTATAGTTCTCTGAACTTTCAGCAGAATAAACCTGTCAGTCACATAAATATGAAGAGAGGAAATCCTGGAAATGAGGCTCCTGGATGACTCCAAAATTTATAAAGTGCAGAGACATAATTTGTTACCCACAAGTAGACACTGTTCTCAGGTTAAAATGTTCCACTTCCTCCTTAGCCCCGAGTGGCCCTCTCTCCTCAGCCCAGACTGATCTTGGTGCACGCTCTACTTTTTTAAAATAAACGGTCTCATTAGAACCAATACCATTTTATTAAAATAGCAAGCAATTAGTGTCTCTTAGAAGGATGCTTGGGGGCCCGTGAACAATAAATAACACGAGCCCATTTAATTTTAGGTTCTTTGTTCTAGATTCTGGAAAACTGCTGCTCACCTCAGAAAGGAGTTATTGAAATGCCCCTTTGGTCGTTACGATAAAGAGCTAATAATGCTGACTGTACCTGATGCAGAAGGGAAGGGAATGTGTCACAGGCT